AATACTGTCTTAAGGCTTGTAAAAAAATTAAGAACGTGTTTTATAGGGTTCGCCAGTTCAAAATCGATGAAAAAGGAGCAGTCGTATCCAGAGGCGATTCATTTAGACGGAAGAGGAATGAAGTCACTGTAAAAAGTGAATATCCCAAGAATTATACGACTCTCCCCCATTTATTCGGCCATTTATAATATTTCAGATGATAAATCACCATCACCCTATCTAATATCCGGGTCCGATTCGACCAGGGAATCACGCAGCGAGAGTGTATCATCCAGCGAAGAATCGCGAAGGGAAACGGCTGTGGGAATGGCGGATGATCCATCAACTAGTCATAAAACGTACAAGGTCCGTTATGGCAAGAGTTCCGGGTTAGATTTGGAGGGGAATGAACATTTTATTAGTCGCTATCATAAAAAAGAAATCACCTATCAGAAAACCGTAGAGCAAATGATGTTTAGTCTTTTCAACAGCTACAAAAAGGCAGACTTCTTTACTTTTGCATAATTGCGATGATTTTATCATCTTAACACTGTAATGCTTGAAGTACTAGGGCCTTAGACGTTGTTCCTGTAGTAAAAAAAATTATCTTGGTTTTTTTGTGCAGGAAAGTGTTTTGTTTTTGTAAACCTAGGTTGCCTAAGATTCTGCTCATTGATTCAGGCCTTTTTCTGCTGTAAAACTAAGAATCATATTATATTTGAAAAACCATCATTGCTCCATTGTTTTATCAAGTTTGAAACATTTTCAATGGGACTTATCATTCATTCATTTCTATACTCCTTAGCAAAGACGTATTTGAGCTTTTCAGATTTATGTAGTCGGAGATGCGGGTACGGGAAAATCGTCGCTTATTGGCCAACTTATCACATCAGAGTACAAAAACGCTTTCGCCGATGAAATCCGTAAGTTAAATATTTGCACTCCTCAATGTTAGACCTCCTGCATTAGGATTTTCCAGAAGATTACGAAAATACGGTATCGATAAGCCTCGGTGGACAAGAGTTGGATTTGATATTCTTTGAAAGTGATATGGTGAGTAAGTTCTTAAGAAAAGGCCTAATTCTGATGGAATGTGCAGAGAAAAATTTTGGCTCAAAGGAGTAGATTTTGCTTAACAAAAAAATATCATAAAAAAGGGAAAAGAAGTCATTTTTGCACTCATTATTGAAAGCAGCTGATTCTATATCACGGCCACCAGCTTTGGGTGCGAACTTCTGGCATAGTGGGGTTTACGGATCTCTGATATAGGCATGACCTTTTCCTAAGTGCCTTTTTATTGATTTATGTTCAAGTGATAGGATGAACTCTGCTTAAATGATGCTTTTTCACTTTAATTAGTCAAACGATCTCTGAAAAACCAC